TTTATTATAATAGCCGGCGTCTATTTTGTGAAATAATCCACTTTGCCATTAATTAGAATACGTTCTGTATATTACACGAAAAATGCCACGTAGATTCCTCTGCCGCTTGGCTTGACTCCATTATTATGTATTACGTTTAGTCCCCTTCGTCGATGGTTAGGAGATCAGGCATTCGCGCGACCTGTCGCAGTTCGACGATAGAAAATTGTAAACTCGTCGATATTGACATGAAGCGGAAGACGAAGATATTGCGGAAGGAATCAGTCGATTGGAAATTATTCGAACAAGTACGTGAGAGCCCGTGGCTGAAAAGTTCGAAAATTGAAAATTTCTGTCGGGACGTTGTAATCGGCCGTTGGCTCGAATCGGATGAGGGTAACACTGATGGGTGGCGGCCGCGGGGGTTGGTTGAGGGATGGCAAACTGTCGAGGCAACGCGCGAGCGAGCGAATAACCACGAACGAAACTTGAGTGATTTATGTTAATTCGTGTTAAATTACTTTGTTCGGCAAATGGGGTCCGGAGACATTTTTAAAAGTCGCCCGTGTTGACGCGAAAAAATCGCCAGAGTAAAAGACAGGTTTATTTACAATATACGAAAGATGATTTCCTTGAGGAACAAATATTTATTATTTTTCTCGTCGATATTAATAGCGGGGAAAAAAAGGGAGAATGGGGAAAAAAAAATATATATATATAATCCAAATTCGTAGTATATCTACGATAACGAACGTTTAAAAATTTCATGCACAAAATTGTAAAAACCGCTCCGCAGTACGTTTCCGAATGCAGAGGTCATCCTGTTGTATTCTATACGCCTGAAATTTTCAAACGCACTTTTCGTGCATTGCATTTTACGAACATTTCCCGAAAAGCGAAAGTTTCAGGTTGCTTATTATTTTATGGACTTAATATGTATGTACAATCATATAGCGTGAGAGAGAGAGAGAGAGAGAGATAAAAGAATGTAGAAGTCGGATTCCATAAATTTCGCGGCAATTTAAAATTACATCACTGGAACGAAAAAGCGCAAAAGAGGGGCAGGGAGATATATTCTCAGTGTCGGAGACATTCCGGATTTCCCCTATTAATACCAAAGTTTGGTCGTCCAAGATTTTTCTCTCTTTCCAGTTATATGTGCTGGCGACATTCGTCCTCATTATTCCGCTCAGAATTTACTGGGCGAGACTGACTCCAAATTTAAGTACACGCATTTCTTGAATTACGAATCCTTATAACGTTCGCACTTTGCATTTGTGGTCGGATATAATTACAAGCTAGTGTACGTGGACGACATTTATCGTAAGTGCAACATTTTGCAACTTTCAAAATTATAAATATGATTAATACCTATTATAATTAGTGTAGTAAAAATATACGTATAAATGTATATGTATATGTATACGTATAAAAACGATGAGCGATATTTGTCACATAAATCAATATTGCAATTAATATTCTCTATTTATCTTATCTTATCCTCTTAAAACATTTCACATTTTTTCCTCGTACAATTCTTTATCCGCTACCAGTGAACGCCGATTTAATAATTTTCTATACGACAGAGAGCAAATCAGTGACCTTCGAATCAATTATATAAATTTTATATACGCACAACGAACGCAACAGATATAGATTTCGATATATCGCGCACGTCAGTAACAGAAAGAAATTAACATATATCAAAAATATTTCATGTATGCTGAAAGCAAACAATGTGAACATTGACATTTATTTACATTGACATCCTGAATCTTGTTAAATTAGTACATGTGAGAACGTCTCGGGCGCCAAAAAAAAGGTGGATTCCGCAAATATTTGCGCTTCTTCGTTTTAATTAAAATTCACACGCGCGTAAACGTTCGCGGCCCGCCGATGTGTAATTAATTTTTCTGTTTAGTGACACACGCGCGTGTAATATCGAAATATAATAATAAATACGTATCGCGGAAATTTCTTCAGAAGTACGGATTAAGCCGCGCTCTACATCAGCCAGCCATCCGATATAGCTATATCGGGACGGCTTAATTACAAAATAATTATCGCCGAGTAAGAGGCGTGCAATCGGCGAATTTTATACATCTCGCGAGCCCGACGTCGAACGTATATAAATATCAAAACCACCACCGCCCGCCGAGCCACAAAGGGATATTATCGTAATGCGCATTATTAAAAGAAGCGCCGGAGGGGGAAGGGGGGAACGAGTATGCTGAAAACTATCGCGTAATGTAACGCCGATAAAACAACGTACGAGTGCACAATAAACGTCCCCATGGCGGGACTCGTGTTCACTTTGTATTTTGACGAGCGTACACGCGTGTGTACTGACACGCGCACACGCGTGTGTGTACACGCAGGAACGACGAACGAACGAACGAACGAACGTATGTAGGTACGAGCGAGCGAGCGAGCGAGCGCAAAAGTACAGAAAGCACACGAGGGTATAAGCGAGTGTAGGCGCGCTTTCGCCCTCCGTGCCATTCGTAACGTTGGCGTAACGCTGTACGCTATGCGAAACAACGCGCCGCCCAGCGTATTCTGGCCGTCGTTCGTGTTTGTAACTGCGCGTTTGTAACGGGCACCGTAATACGATGAACGATGAATAATAAACGACGCTGCCGATGAACAACAAAACGGTGCGAAGTGTACCGCGAATAATAATTGGCAACCCTTGGCTGTGTGTGCCCGCGTGACGACGACGAGCGTGGTATCCCGACCCCCTCTGTTCAGGGATGGAAGGCTTGCCCGGATGAGTGTGGGCGCGGCGGGGGTGAGAACATTGATCGACGATTTTAGCGTGCGGGCCGATTTTCTCTGAGAATTTAGATCCTCCGAATTAACGTCGCTCGATCGCGATCGAGTCCCGAGAATCATATGCATGTAAGATGTGCAAAGGAAACTTTTTGCGACATTTTTTTATCTCGACAACGATTAAGAAAAAATACTTGGAAACGTGTATTAAATTCAGATATACAAAAGATTAAAGCTGTTAACGCGGAGTAAATGTGATAAAGATGTAATTTTCGCGATTATAATGAAATTAATATTTGTTAAAACCGCTTAAAAAGAGATAATGCTATAACGCGTTTAATAGTCATTTTAAATAACTAGAAATTATCCTTAATTATTGTAATTTTTGTCGTTTTAAAAATATTATGGTACAAGCGCGCATTATTTTCCAATATATCAAAAAAACTCCAATTTATCATATATAATTTATTACAGTGGAACGATTCAAAAGGTGCGAGAAGTATTCATTGATTCTGCAGTCATCGATTAATATCTATCGCATTCATTTAATATCTCGATCAAGAGGATATACGGATAAATATGTACCTCTACCATATAGGCCACTTCATTGCCGCTGCAACGTAGCGTACACAGCGCAAATTGCTGCGCGTCGTGACAAGACCAAAAAAAAAAAAAAGGGCCACGGGCGCTTAACTATTTAAACTTCCGGTATTAAAAAGAAGGTGCGAACTCTCTTTTCCAGATGGATGCATTATAGTCCGCACTCTCCTTCCTTTCCACCGCTCTCGACCCTCGCCGATCTCCTCGAAGCGAGAAAAGTCGAAGACATCAGGCGTATAAGGGTATAACGAAATGAGATGCAGGCGGAAAGTAGTAAATACGACGTCGCGAAAGAAAGAGGAGACGATAGCGGATACGGACACGCTGTGCTGAGTGAGAGAGAAGTAGAGACACACACGGTCGAGGCGAACCAATCGCATGCTGCGCCTGACACCAGGCGACTACTATACCGTACCATTGCGACCATTTGAGTTTCCTACCACGATCTCGCTGTCTCTGTCTCTCTCGATTCCTCTTGCATACACCCTCTCGCCATCACTATCGTACCTCTATCTATCTATATCGCTCTCGCTCCTCTCTCTCTCTCTGTCTTCGTTCCGCGCGCGCTTCCTCTCCATCTACCCTCGCCACTCCTCGACCACCCTTTCTCGCTCGCACACGTTCGCTTCTCGTTCTATATCTATCTTTCTGTCTCTCATATCCTCTGTGTTCATCTCGCTCGCGCCTCCATCGAACCGGCGGAGCACCGGCCGATTTTGCATTTAAATTGGTAAATTTGCCGGAGTTGGCAAATGAGCTGCGGGCATGGTGTCTAATACTCGCGCACGAGCACGGCCGCCGATTACACTAGTCTAATGCCTCTAGAGAGAGAGTACGCGCGTACAGTCCTCCGTGAAAATCGTTCGCGATCGCGAGACACGATTTTCGAGGGTGATCTCGTCGTCGAGGTCATCCTGAGAGGGTAACGATGTATCGTCCTAGATTTTATACAGTGATTTAAAAATAGCCGACTCTTTTTTTTTTTTTCGCGACAGCTACAGATTTACGAGAAAAGACCAGGCCAAATAATATTCTATTTGGAAACGTCCTATGACGACTATTTGGATTATCTAATATCTCTTATGATGGATTATACGTATCTGGTGTTTGATAGGATAATATTTTTTCACGAGTACAAAGAATAAATTAAAAACAGATAAGTTTTTTCAAATTTTCTTTTCAATTATTTCGTTTGTGCAACTATAACACAACAGTGCAGTAACAATTAACATAATAGATTAGTATTTTGATTAATCAAACTTGACAGATGCATGCGTCATTATCTAGCATTAAATCTTCGAACGGCAATCAGTCTACCGCAAGTCAGTGGAAGTTGAAATAATAACAGAACGCGTATCACGCATACACAGCAGCACCACCGAAAAAATACTTGCCGACTATTGCGCCGCGTTAACAAACCGCTTTCATAAAATATCGTCGAATAAAAAGTCGCGGCGAAACGTGGGTGTGCGCGCGCGCGCGCGTAAACGTGTGCGGCAGAACCAGCGAAAACAGTTTCATTCATGGGTTCGACGCATTTTTTTGCTCTCCTTGCGCGCAATAAATCAATCGGCGATAAGCTGATAAATTCTGTACGCGCGCATCGACCGATATCAAGCGGGATGGGTTTCGCGCGGGACTGTACGCACCTACACGTGGGAAATAGTGCATAGGAAATGCAAACGTGTAGCGGAGAACTTCGGACAGCACCCTCTAATTTTAGCTCGCAGAGGGCAGCACCCTGTCATGCCTGTACGTGTCTGTCCATGTTGTAAAGTTGCGTTCTCTATCCTCATCGTACAGTCCTCTTTCCAAATTCAACCGGAACAACGCCCCGGAAAACCGGAAACGTCGTTTCATGGTCGCAGTCGAATCGACCAGCGCGTTTCTGCTCTGTTCCGAGACGAGTTTTAGTCGCGAGGGGTAGTTTTCGAGAAAATTCAGCTCAGCAAAATTATCTGAAACAAAAAAAAGATCATCTTCTTATTTGAAAAAAAAAAAAAAAAAAAAAAAAAAAAAAAACGTGAAGCTGACGAACGAAATTCGAGATTCGCATATTTCCTGTCGACAGAGACACTTTAATGCCGAAGAATCTTCCTTTTCAAGATGTCCCTTGATTATTTAACTTGGACGTAATTGTTTTACACGCGTCCGCATTACGGCGAAATCGTGCCGCGCATAAAATATTTTTTGAAAAAGCGGATAATACCTACACTACGCGGGAAGGTTCGTAGCCGGGGAAAAAATGCGCCACGGTATTAAAATTTCACTATCGTATTACCCGCTATGTGCTGGCCGACGTCACGAAACGTTGCATTAATCCACGGATGTCTGTCCAACGTTTCAATGAGAGCGAAGAAAAGGGAGTGCTAAATTGGGATACACGGCGCGGATAGGAGGGTAGCGAGAGAGGGGCCGCTATAAAAAGACCGTCTAGATTCGCTTTAGCGAGTTTTCCAGGTAACTTTCTATCGTTGCCTGGCAATGCATACAACGCCGTCCGTTAATTAGTTCTGCGCGCGTTACACATAAAAATAGAGATGAATTCGGAAGAATGCGTACGCACTCTTCGATGATGTTTCTTCAAAATCTCTACCCACGAGATTACTTTCTCAATCCAGATGATATCGATAGATTCGATACGATCGACGAAATTTGTCGCGAGAGCGCTAAGATGTACGCACTCGTGATCCGATCGGAAACAAGAAACCGGCGAAACAAGAACGGGAACATTCCCGTGGCGATCTCGTGCTCCTGTTTCTCGGAGAAGGTATCATCATTTTGCCGTTCCGCCGAGTCTCGAACAGCGACGCAGCACGTAACGTAACGCGACGTAACGTAATACGGAGAAATAATAGGTTGATGAGGGCTGGAGTCGAGGGGGAGAGAAACGAAAGGACGGGGATGAGGACGCGCGAGTGAGGCGCCTACGGGGAGACAAGGGGGTTTCGGTGAAGGCAGAAACGGGGGCCTGGGGGTGCCGGCGTCCTGTTCATTATGCAACGACGCGACTGCACGTCCCCCCGGCGACGTCTCCCCCTTCCCTCACGCCTCTCTCTCTCTCTCTCTCTCTCTCTCGTTCTCTCCTACCCTCCCGGAACAACGAGCCACGATTCTCCGGTGCAGCGGAGAACGGGCGCAAAGTACAATCGGGAGGCCCCGCGGTTAATGAGTCGGCCGAACAAGCGAAAAACCGTCCATTAAATAATGCGCGATGCAACGTCGGCGCAGCCGCGCGCTAGAGATATGCACGGGAAAGGGAGATGCTTTTTTGCGAAATTCGAGAGCCGCTAGGTGTGTCTCTCGAGCCTCCCTTCGCTCTTACTTTGCGCTTCCGTCTCGCGTTCGATTATAATCGATCGAGGATAAAACTCGTTTGGCGGAGATCGATATGACGCTGCGGAAGTATTCGTCGCGGACGTATTAAATATATATATATATAATATATAATATCGCTTTTAATCTTCGGCATTTTTAACGCCCTATCGCGGCTCATTATCCGGCGAGCGGCGCAATCGCGATCGCAAGAGACAGGGCATATAATTAAATGCGAAAGTTTGTTAGAACTACGCGTAGCGTTGTTACTCACTTGTCCCGTTCCCTGATAATTACTGCGATGCATTTATTCGCGTTCTCTCTGCAGTCAAGCTCGCGCTGGCTGGTTATGGGCTTTTGTAAACCCTTTGAGTGGTTTCTCCGAGAAACAGTCGCTCTATATGTTCCGCCGCATTGTTGCCCTTTTAAGCTCTAAGGATTTCTAATGCCGCGTCGCGCAGCAGTGTATGCTCCGCCAGTACACCGAAATGCATATATCCAAGTAATTGCTCGTGATTAAATAGCGTTATTAGGATAATTGATGGCGCCGCTGCGTGTAGAAAACCGCAGCCGTTTGCCTTTAGTAATCGCGCTAAAGGTAACGATAATAGCTTTTTTATTACGCGCAAACAACAATTCGCGCCTTCCATTCGTTTCTTCGAAGGTCCGACAATATCGATATACATATACGTATATAAGAATAGTCTATTTGAATCAAGACAAAAAGATTTGTCACGTTGATCGAATGTTTTTATTTAACTCTGTTTACTAAAAACATTCGATCAACGTGACAAATCTTTTCGTCTTGATTTAAATAGACTATTCTTTATTTGGAATATTTAAATAATTCAATACGCTCGTGTTAAACGTCACGGATAAATTATGCAAGTGTGACTATCTTTGCAAAAAAGTACTTTAAGCAGCGTAAAAAAAAATTTAAAACCAACTTATAATTCGATTAAATGCTATTAAATATTACAATTGCAAGAAAAAAAATAAGATTATCCCTTACATTAAGCTACAATACCTAATACGTACAATCTCATAAAATGTATAAATCCCCATACGTTGCAGAGTTGACGCACCCTGTAGACCGTGATCTAAACTTTCATCTAAACTTTCATCTAACCTCCCCTATGCATCTAATCGAGCCCCACCACTATATTCTACGAAAGGGCTAGGAAAGGAATGGGAGTGGGGTTCCGTCCAAGTATGGTGGGGATCCAACACACTAACGCATTTGCAAACGGATAAGCGTATGTACATGAACGTAGTAGGAGTAACGACCCTTAATAAAACGTAGGTCTCGAAGGGGACGCAGCAGCTCGTAAAAGAGTATTAAGAGAGATCGTCGTGAAAACGTCTTACAAGATTATTTGTATAATATGTTCTTTTGTGATTCGCACAAAGGAGAGAGTGGTAAAGACATCTATGACTTTTAACAAACGTATTCTTTCAAATGTGATTATTTTAAGTAGATCGTTTATTACGATCGTTCTGATAATTCTCATAATATCACCTTCTATCATCGATTTTTGGTTGTAGTTTATTAAATATTATTAAGTAAAAAGAAAATTCTTCTTTGACTGTTTTTTAATTGACGATTTTCGACACATTATAAACAAAAAAATTGTGAAATTTGATCAAATTCAATCTGTTACGTCGATAAGATAAGATGAGATTAATTATCGTTTCCAACGAGATACCGGATCTGCATGTAAAAAGACAACGAAAATTCGCAATCGACTTTCTCAGTCGGAAATCCAGGGTATTTGCTCAGCGCACCGAGAACGGATAATCCTTTTATTACTCCTGACATCGAGAGAGAACCGGTCAACCCGAGATCACCGGAGATCTGCATTCCTACTTTGGAGGGCGCGAGAGAAAGACAGATTGCCGCGCTATCTCTCTCTCTCTCTCTCTCTCTCTCCGGTGACACGAGAAATAAAAATTCATGCCCTTCTGACGTGCGATAAGTTCACCTATCCGGCGGATAAACCGTCGACGACGACGACGACGACGACGACGTCTCTGAAAACGACGCGGAACTCTTTTTTTTTCAGCCGCGCGGTTAAAATGCAAATTAAGTCGGCGTGCTTAAGAATGTGAGATTATTAAGGGAGACCGCCGACTTTTGCCGCCCGCGGGTACCACGAAAACATTTCCTCGCTCCATCCTCCTTCTTCCTTCCCTCCTCCTCCGACCCCGGCGCGCCGTGCATTATAAAATACACATATTACTCCCGCGGCTTGTCCCCGTGTCATATTCTTTCGTCTGCCCCTCGGGGAAAAACGACAGAACGTCAGGCTACTTGAGACTGCTGCGGCAATAAACGACTTTAGACTTCAGCTCTCGCTCTCGAGGAAAAAAAATGTCAAAGCTGCGAAAATTGAGTTCCCTTACTAATTTTTCTCCAACTTCTCTGGAAAATCAACTCGACGCGATCTATTCTATTTAATACTCAATTTTCCCCTCGCGCATATTGCAAAAACATATTTTTATTATTTCAATCACACATGGAAACACACACATTAATCGTATTTTATAATTGAACTATAAATATTTATTATTTTGTAGGAAATCAATTGTTTTATCTACTTCTAAATCAATTGTTTTATCTACTTCTAAATCACGAGATATTTGATCACCGCATGTTTTTTTGTCATACCGTGGTCGAAATTGTAGCATTTATATATATATATATTTGCACACACACACACACACACACACACACACACACACAAAGGACATTTTCCGCTTCGCGATATCAAATACGAAACCGATCGGCGAAAATGGATTTTAAGAGTCTGCTGTCGAAATAAAAATATAAATCTGAATATATTGTATATGACATTACAGAAGGGGTTGCTGGCATCGCTGTTATTTATACGTTATCAGACGTATCCTAGTATCTATAAATATAGCTAATTAAGGAACACGCGATGTCAACATATGTATTTCTGCATAGCGCAGACACATTATTGTATACATTTCTCCTGCAACCGGCATGGCGAAACTGGTATGCTTGGCAATCTGTTTTCTATCACGCTAATGTTACCCGAGGACACTCGTCGTAACTCAGTTACAGCGCAAATTCGTCAATAGCGCAAATAGAATGTACAACAGGCTTGTCGTGCCGTTAAATCGATACAACAATTTCGTCGGTTCGCTCCACTCGTTAGACGTGTTCCTCGGAAAAGAGGGCGCCACGCAACTATCCGTTCGCATCGTCTCACCCCTGTCTGTCGCGACGAAGTGGAGTCTTTCTATTCGCAGAAGCAATCGATCCCGAAGGAAACAGCTGTCTCGTTTACCAAAATCTTCGATCCCGACCGTCAAAGTCGCTCGCGCTTTTATTTATAGAGCGAAAAACGGCGTTTTAATCGACGTCTCCGGGTAAAATCGGTCGAAACCGATCGACGGCGGGACCTTGATCCAATCAAGATGCAGGTATTTATTTTTGCGTTCGTTTAAAAACGTGTTGAAATGCAAAAAAAAAAAAGTAAACGGCCATGGCGATGGCCAAGCGAGAGGGTTGAAGGCGGCAGAAACGTCGGAGTCTCGCGCTTGATGGAGGACGAGAAGGAGGAAGAGGGTTGACGAGGGTGAGAAGGAGTAGCGTGGCTGGTGAGCGTGG